CAATTCTTTCCTAGAAGTCACCAAGGAAGACCCCCCTCACCCCAAACCATCTCTAGAGAGAGCCAATGAGCTCCACTCCCGGGAGTTGTAACTACTTCTGTAGTGCAAAAAAAAAAAAAAAAAAAAAAAAAAAAAAAAAAAAAAAAAAAAAAAAAAAAAAAAAAGTTATATTAATATTTTTAACATAACATGGCTTTTAATATATTCAGATTATACAATCATCATGACCATCTAATTCCACAGTTATGTATTGACCCAAAAAAACTCCTTATCCATAAACAATCACGACCCATTCCCCCTCCCCGCAACCCCTAGCAATCACTCATCTACTTTCTGTCCATGTGAAGTTGCCTCTTTGGGACACTTCATATAATGGAATTTTGTGTGATCTGAATCCTTTCGTGTCTGGATTCCTTCACTCCACATGTTTTCAAGGTTCATTCACGTTGTGGCATGTATCACTATCCCATTCCTTCTTTATGGCTGAACAACCCATTGTAAGATCTACCGCATTTTGTTTATCCATTCATCAGATGATAGACATTTTGGTTGTTCGCGCTTCTTGGCTATTATGAATGATGCTGCTATGAACATGTGTATACAAGTTTTTGTGTGAACATATGTTTTCAATTCTCTTGAGTATATACCTAGAAGTGGAAATGCTGGGTCATATAGCAACTATGTTTAACTTTTGGAGGAACTCAGGTGATAGCTTAATGTGATTCAGTCTAGCCAGATGGGGGTTACTGGTTCATCCAATAAAAATGTTATTTCTGTCAATATTAAAAGGCTTTCTTTAAACAGCCAGGAGTAACATCCATTATTTTCCCAATTGCTGTGTGGCCTGTCACTCTAACATGAAAGGAAACTAGACTTATCAGAAAAGACTGGTTTCCTGGTAGTTCATGCTTTTCTGGCTGTCTTCAAACTAGTGGCGATTTATCTGAGAATCATCACAGTGAGGAGGGTGGGTTGCTGAGGACAGTGACAATGAAGGACAGCTGCTTACAGGCAGCACCTCTTGGACAGCTTTTGATTCAATGGCTATATTCTAGCACCTACAGGTCCAAAATCTAGATGTTTTCAGTACACTGTAAGAGTGAGCCACTAGATCAACACCCAGAAAACTATAGCCCATGAGACCAATCTAGTCAGCCACTCAGTTTTGTGTTTTTTTTTTAAACAATCTGCCAGCTAAGAATGATTTTTCACATTTTTAAACAGTCACATTTTTAACAGTTATGTAAGAACCTATATATAACATCCTCAATTATGTATCTTGGCTCATCAAGCCTGAAGGATTTATTATCAGATCCTTTAAGAAAAAAGTTTACAGACCCGTGCTCTAGCTGATGCTCATGCAAATTAAATTCTCTTAAGACCAATGAAAGAAGCATAGCACCATTATCAATTTCTCACTGGAGATATCCAGTAAGCAGCCAATGTCCAACGCAGGATGTAGAGTGGAGTAACCTAGGAAGTGGCTCAGAAGGATGGGAAATGCACAGAATCAAAATGGGAAAAGCAGTATGGGCACAGTGGTTAGGGAAGGAGAGTTAAGCCATCAAACCTCTGTGAAACTCTAATAAAATCTTCATTCGTCACAGCAGAGAACACCTCCCTAGCAACTTGATAGTTTGTTTCTCCCTATCTACCTTGTTTTATCTAGAGAGTGCTAGACTTAACACATTAACACATTCTGCTTCACTGAACCCATCACCCCCCATTGTCATCCCTTTCCTGCTTACTCTGACCATTTCGCTCTTGGCCTACCAGGTGTCAAATGCACATCCTTATTCCCTTGGTCTTGCAGGGCTGCGGCCACCCCTTATTAGGAGGTGATTAATCTACACCATGCTCAGAGCTCTAGATAAACATCATTACTGCTGTTTGCAAGATACTATTAAAACTACCAACTGGTCATTGCAGTAGACCACCTTCTTTATCCCAATGAAACAGAAAAACAACACTTGTCTTTTGCCAACCTCAATGTTTTCACTAGTCCCCCAAGCTTCTTGAAAGTAATGGCAGTGGACGGTTTTGACACACTGGTCCCTCAGACTCTTCCCAAGATAGATGATCTCTACCTGCTCGGAATACCTTCTGTTTTTCTCATAAGTCAGAATTTCAGAATTATCTGCTCCTACAACTGGACCTTCAAATTCTTCAGCAAATTGAGAGGTTCATATGTTTGTACTTGACCTCCTCTACAAAGATGAAATTAAAGACACTAGAAGTCCCTGCTTTTCCTCAGACTTCCCTTACTAATGTCTCTTCCTTTCTCCTACATGTAAGGTTTTCTTGGGGGCTCCTTTCACCTAATACAAAGCTGGATGTGGGGAGACCTCACTTTTACGTTCTTATTATGACTTGTTCCTCCTTTCTAGTTTTAATCTTTCTATTGTTGTTCTTACTCGATTTTGCTATTTCCATATCCTCATGGTCCTGCCAAATTACCTCCTTTTAAAACTTTCCCATTAGCCTTCCAACTCTCAATAGAGTTCTGGTCTCAGCAAAAAATAGCCACATCTCCCTTCCTGGCCTGCTTCGGTTAGTTCTATATGCCTGCTTCAGTTAGTTCCTGGGCTTCTTTTTTGAACAGTCATTAAATCCTAGGGAGTTTGAGCAAAGAACTCCATCACTGTGATTACGTGTTAGTCTGAATTCGTTTACTAGCTCCCAGCTATGGAGAAACTACATTTTTTATAATTTGTTTTTATTTTAGAGAGAAAGAGCACAAGCAGGGAGAGAGGCAGAGAAAGAAGAGAGAGAAAGAGAGACAGAATCTTAAACAGGCTCCACTCTCAGCACGGAGCCCGATGCAGGGCTTGATTTCACGACCCAGGGATCATGACCTGAGCCAAAATCAAGATTTGGACACTCAACCGACTGAGCCACCCAGATGCCCCAGAGAAACTACCTTTAAACAGAATGAGTGGCAAATTTATGGACAATACAGATCTTCCTGTTTTTCTAAATTATAATTTCATCTTCCAGAAGACCCTTCAGCAAAGGTTCGAGCGTTTAAAATACACACAACAGGGGTGCCTGGGTGGCTCAGTCAGTTAAGTGTCCAACTCTTGCTCAGGTCAGGTCATGATCTCATGGTTCGTGAGATGGAGTCCCCATATCGGTTCTGCAGTGTGGAGCCTGCTTGGGATTCATTCAATCATTCATTCATTCATATTCTCTCTCTCCCTCTCTCTCTCCCTAAATAAATAAATAATCATTTAAAATAAAATAAATTACACACAACACATGGGGGGACCAGTCATTCCAATAATGAATCATCGACAAACCAAAACCGGTCTCATCTCTAGTCTTAATACCAGAGAGTTCAGACCACCTTTTCCTGACACTTTCATATAGTTCAAAATTCTCTTCCTTACCAGTATGATTATAAGCTTTCAAAAACTCTCCTCCCATCACATTCTAATTCTGGAGAACATCTAAGAAATACATGATCTATATAATAACCCAAGGAAACAACATTGGGGTTATTTTTCAAATAAGATTAGAAAAATATCATATACTCAGCGATATTCACACAGAACAGGTTATCAAGCACTTACCCCAAAGGACCTTTTTTTTTTTTTAAGGTTTATGTATTTTTGAGAGAGAGAGAGCATGAGCAGGGGAGAGGCAGAGAAAGAGCAGGATAAAGGATCTGAAGCTGGCTTTGTGCTGAGAGCGGAGAGCCCAGGTTGGGGCTCTAACTCTCAAAGCATGAGATCATGACCTGAGCTGAAGTCGGATGCTCAACCAACTGAGCCACCCAGCTGCCCCTCACCTGAGGACCTTTAAAACAAGATGCACACCCTGACTGTCTTGCAAATGACTAGGAATTATCACACCTAAAGGATGAGGAGATGATCTATATGGCTGCTCCATTCTTCCCTCTTGAAAATCCCCAGGACTTGCTTTCCTCATCAGCCCAATAAACCTCATCCAACTATTACTATGGGGATCCAGGCTCAGGTCACGGAGCAGAATTTTCCCAAAAGATGAAAAACACAATGTACAAACCTTGTATTAGATACTCTTTCTGTTAAGCGACCAATTGTAAGAGAAGAGTCAATCACTCCAGAAGAGTGACCAACTTAGGGAGGTGGGGGTGGGCCCGGGGAATCAAAGCCACAAAGATACAGACTCCTAAAGGGCCAAACAGTAGTAAAAACTCCCTCTCAGCTATTTTGCACTCCTCTTGGTGGTGAAAGACAGTCCTTTTCAACCTCACAACTGGCATTCTTTTTCATTACTTGTGGCGCAGGCAATCAGTCAACGTGAGACAGAGCAGGAAGCTGCTGGAACAAGCGTGTGCGTCGAGCTCTCGGCTCTGAATGGTCTGCGCCTCACTCCAGAACGTTTCCTCCAGATGCTGCCAGCAGACACTCTGTAATACCTAAACCACAAATCATCACATTCCCCACCCTTTGAGCCAGGCCTTGTCCTTGAGAGCTTCCCACATAGTGAGATATTAACCAAGCTGGCCACTGATACAATAGCTCTTTACAAATTCGGAGTAAAACCTGCCACACCATCTGCTCGATCTACTAAAAAGTGGACTCGTATCATAAAAATATCCACGGTAGGTGAACCTCAGAGAGTAATGCAGGACATTTCAGACATTTCACACGGACTGAATCCTGGATAGCTTGCTAAAGAAAATATTTTATCAATGTAAACATGTCAGGCATACAAGTGTATCTAAAATTAGAGCAAGTATGTGTCAGAAATGGAGCCATCTTGCAGAAACAGAATTACAGGCAGGTCACTCCAGATTCTTTGCCAATATCCAAGGAAACCGCCTTTCCTCAAAATAAAGAAACCGTCCTGCTATCTGGTTGTTCTGGGAACCAGGGAGGGTTTGTTGTTGTTTTCTTTTAAAGGACTCTTAAGTTTTATCTACTGTGACACATTAAAGCCCTCTAAACCAAACAAAATGTTTCCAAACTATGATGCTGTAACTTAAAAAAAGCCATTGACTGGACTATACTCACACTGAAAAGGCGCCATAACTTGACCCTGCTTGAATGTCAAAGGGAACGAACCTTCAGTGGACTGCTCTCCCGAGATCACCTTCTGGGCCGCAAAGTACTTGGGCTTCAGCACATACTCCTGGGTCTGGCCATGATGTATCATCACATTCTGTGAGGAAAGTGGTGTCACTCTGGGAAGAAACAAAGTGGGGAGAGGGAAATTAGTTATGGACTTTTGAAACCAAGAAGGAGAAAAGAAGACGTTCAATTTAGAAAGGAACGTAGATTCCATGTGAGGCTCGATTTTTCTCTTCAAATACTGTAGCGGACCACTTATAACACAAGGAACTAACCACTTACACTTAGAAACGTTAATATAAAAGAGACTCCGCTCATCTAGTCAAGAAGCATAGGCTATCTAGGCCACCACAGGTGGATTCTATCAGAAGATTTGGAGCACACAGCCTTTATGCAGAACACGGGCCATTTATATGTAAGACAGACAAAGACACATACAGAAGCGGGTACCAACATTTACAAAGTGTATTTTCCATATACTGATAAGTAGGCAGTATTGGAAACGCAAGGAAAGGAAAGGAGGAAGAAAATACAGAAAGAGGATTATGCAAGAAGTCCCCGGCTTGATCAGTCACGCAAAATTAACTGTCAACAATCAGAGCCTGTAGAGTAACCAGTGGGACCTTCCTAATGACAGAAGAAGAGAAGGTCAATCTCTTCAAGCCTCACCTTCCTGAGCTGTAACCACAGAATCACTGTCAGACAGGCCAAAGAAAAAAATGCTTGTAAAAAAAGTCGGAACACACAAAAACTGGGAAAATTTTGAATTATCTTTTGAAATTGTAATTATGGTAAGAAACACATTCAACTTTTTCTAGTTAACCTTTAAATTTTTTATGCTGTATCTCTTAACAATTAAAACTGTACTATTCAGGTTAAATGTTTTATAATTATTCATTCCTAAGAAGGGGAACAATGGTAAGAATAACGGATCACAATCTCATTTCTTCAAGACCCCACGTGAAGAACTCCGAGGACTCCCGAACACAATTACTGTGTATTCACCCTCTGGTCTGACCGTTTTCTATGGCAGTTCTCTTTTGTTGCATGTAATGGAAACTGTGCTTTTTTTAAGTAGTTTTTTAAATTTAAATTCCAGTATAATTAACATACAGTGTTACATTGGTTCTGAGAATTTTATCCAAAAAATACAAAAACACTAATTCAAAGGGATACATGCACCCCTATGTTTATAGCAGCATTATTTACAACAGCCAAATTATGGAAACAGACCAAGTGCCCATCGACAGATGAATGGATAAAGAAGATGTGGTGTATATACACAATGGAATATCATTCAGCACGTAATGTAAACTTTAAAATAACAAGTCTTTGCCCACGTTTAATAATTCCCTGAAGGACAGAACTAAAATCATTAGCTAAGTAAGACTAATAAATAATCAGACAATGTAAAGAAGATACACCAACTCATTCCAGAAAATGCTTAACTGTACCAAAACTGCTGGGACAGAGCACTGTAGCAGCAAACGGAGTCTTTGGAAGGAGACATCTCTGGTGTCATCTTGAATTTTATCACCTGGGGCATATTAAAGCCGCCTACACCAAACAAAATATTTCTAAACTATGATACTCTAACTTAGGAAATGGTTGCCTGGGATATAATCACACTGATAAGGTACCCCCAAACCCCAAAGACTCTCCCTAATAAGGGACTGTACTAAACAAGAAAAAGAAATGACATTGTGACAGGTGAGTACATAAGATCAGTTGTCAAGACACCAAAAACACCACTACACAGTGTCTTGTCAAAAGCAGTAACAGTCTTGAATAAAGTCAGTCTATTTGAGTCTAACAATGAATGAGGTATTCTGTGGGACAAGGCATCCATGAGAAAGGAAGAGGCTGGGATTAACGATGCTTCCCTCTTACCTAGTCAGTGATCTCTATCCACCACTTTAAACCTCAGAGTTGCAGGAAAGCCTAGGAAAATCCACTTTGGACCTGAGTTTTCCCAGACACAACTCCATGGAAGAGCACTCCCTCTATCACCAGACTAATGACTTAAATTACTAAAAGCCTAAGTAAGGCTTAATGTTGTAAACACTTTTGTTTTGATGATGTAAGTGTTGGTCTGAACTTGAAGTATGTTTGGTTGGAATACAGTAGAAAGTATAACAGCTGGACACATCTGGTGGTGAATGGTAAGAACCACAAGTCTACTCCATCAGCCTCAAGAAAAGGGGAAGCCCTTCTTCTCATCTCCGGGGCAACCCACTCCCCAGCTATGCTGTCATCCTGTCACTACACTGTTGACACCTGCTGGCAAAAGTACAGGCTTGCTCCTATTCAGAAGAGGACAGCCTAGCATTCCAGCTGCGACCACTGCCAGCTAGGTACAACTGGGGTCTGCCTTCTAGTGGAGTTCCTCCCTTCTCTCCCCTCTGAATCAAGGAAGTGAGAGGCGGCAAGAAATCAGCAAGAAAGAAGCTGAGAGCTTATATACGGGCTCCTTTTCTCTAAACCTAACTGGAAAGTACAGAATAAACAAATAAGATGAGCTTACCGGGTCTAGAACTTGAGCAACAACCCTCAGCCATCACTGACTTAAGGAAATGAGTAATGGTAGTTAAGTCTGACTACATTGTAAGTATTCACCATGTCACAAATTGCAAATATGGAGCTACCCCTGAACCATGCTTCCCCATTTTCCAGCTCCTTTCCTCCTTCCCAGTGCAAGTGTGTAAACACACAAGAAGAGACTGAAGCCACTCTGCACGATAGCCTCACGGAGAAGGAAGCAAAGCCATGGACAGTGATACCATGTGGGGAGAACAGAGAAAACTGTGCGCTCACTTCACAAATACACAATTGCCATCTTTTTCTCTCTTCCCTTCTTCCTCTTTTGCAGTTCATGTTCACTTTCCCCTCTAATTTCATCACTCAGTTATTTCCACTCTGGACCACTTCTAAGCCCTACAAATATATATTCTCTTTAACTCTCCTTTTTTTACCCAAGTACTTCAGGAATAATCTTTCTCCCTTCATTTCAGTTGAGATATTTTCCATTCTTCCCTTCCCTCCTCCGAGGGGGCGGGGGAGAGCTTAACTATCACTAGTGAACATCAAATTTGTCAGAGCATTACAATTTTTCTAAGAGAATACTAAAATATTTGAGAAAACTAAAAATGAAAACTACAGGATCTCTGGCTCAAACGGTTTTTAAGAAAAAAAATGGTTTTTAGATATCTATCTTACCTTCCTCCAAAGATGCCCTTAAAATTATAAGGAATAAAAAAAAAAAAAAAAGAAAAGAAAAGAAAAGATTCAGGGTGCCTAGGTAGCTCAGTCCGTTAAGTGTCTGACTTCGGCTCAGGTCATGATCTCACGGACGGTTCATGAGTTCAAGCTCTGCATCGGACTCTGTGCTGACAGCTCGGAGCCTGGAGCCTGCTTCCGATTCCGTGTCTCCCTCTCTTTCTGCCCCTCCTCCCCTCAAAAATAAAAAACGTTAAAAAAAAAAAAAAAAGGAAATATTCAAATCTAGAGTTGACGTGGCTGTTACACAATAGTACAGCTACACTAATTAAAATATTGAAATATTCTCTTCTGATAGATACCTACTATCCCAAGACCCTTAGCACCCCTCCCTACTCCCTCCACCAGGCCCCCACAAGACATCCCTTCAATCCTGTAAATAAGGAGTTAACATTCAGCAGAAATGGATCTCTGGGTGTCTGTTCCAGCATCCCTTCTGATTAATCAATACCTGTGCTACACAGGGTACTAAATATGGTCCGTGTCACCCATTAATAAACACACAAGAGATATTTCAACAAATCTGTGGGATTCAAAGTGGGATGAGAAACACTGCCTGTTGTAGCAGCATGTAGTTCAACGTGTAGTAAGAAGAACATTTTACTTAGAGACCATACACATCTACACAGGGATTGTGCTTTTATTTAACTAAAACAACCTTATAAAATATTTATCCTTACCATGTGTAGAATACTGATATTTTGTCCTCCAATCTATTTTTTGAACCACTACATTGATTTCATGACTTTGTGACTCCCTAATGGCTTGCAACCGTAGGTGTAAGGGCACTGCTCAAGAACCACTGTGTGAGGGCACAGGCACAAAGGAAGCGATCTTCGCAAGGAAACAGAGAGGATCTCTGGACCCGAAACCAAGTAAAGCAAAGGGTGATTTTAAAAAGTAGGGCTGTACACTGGTGTCTTCACTAGAAATCTGTATATAAAGTCAACTGTTCCCCAACTCTAGCAAACAGAGCGTCCAAGTCACATTTCTACTCTTCTCAGGGGAAAAAAAAAAATATGAGTATTTTCATCTAAAAGAATGGAACTATGTGGTGTAAACCACAAAACTTACTCCGCCCCTCACTCCCAGAGTAAGACCTTCTGGTTCTGGATTCTGGCTTCCCCTAGCTCAAACACTGGTCTCCTATTTCTCCCCCTAAAAAGGAGCTTGCTGGGCAACCCAGAAAACAGGGAGTTCCAGAATGATCCCAGGGTGCGGTGGGGGTGCTGGGTGGAGGGAAGGAACCACGAGAATGGAAAACAGGATTGCAATTTTGGAGACACCTGACTATATGGTATAAATGCAATTGGTAGAAAGAAAAACAGGAGAATACATTCATATCTGATGCTAGGAATATTCTCCTTCAAGAACCATGCATGAAAGCAAAGGACACATACAGAGAGAGAAATCCAAGCATCGAGTTGTACATCCATGGACAGAATATTACAAATGCTGTAACTGTCAGAAACAACCATGTTACCAACTGTGGTGATATTCGTGTACAGAATTAGCTAGAGAAGGCAGGAAAATTCTTAAAGAATAGGAGAAACGGAGGGAAGACTGGGAGAGCCACTGCCCTTGCCTTATAAAATGGAGGGTCTTCAGATAACATTCATGACCTTGATAGAGAACACTGACACAAGAAAAGAGAAGTATAAATATGCTGTCAGGATATACATGAACTCTGCAAATGAAATGGGGAGGAGAGAAAGTAAAGCAAGCTAAATCTTCACCTCCTACAGCAAGAAGTATTTAGACAACATCTAAAAGGAATAAATCAAGAAGCAATGGCTGGATAGAGCTAACCACCAGAAGGACCAATAGGGCCTGAGGA